GAACTTTCACAGAGGATAATTTTCTTCATATAACTGTTTTCTCTGCAGCCGAGAGAAAAAACACAGTAAACACTGTTTATAAAAGTCTATACATCAACTTATCTCTTAGTCAATCAATTAATCGATTATATCAATCTTTGTATTCGTATCAAGGGGAATTTATCTTCTACTCACAGAATATTATTCCAACCACAATGACTCCAATGATACCCATCATGATCATCATCTGAAAGGAGAAAACAGTAACATTTACTATAATGGGACATACAAGGGATTTAACACTGTGTGTGGAGGTAAAACAAGAAACTTCTGAGCAACAAAACATTCAAGACACTTAAAATTCTTTGCGTTTGTTGTGCTTGAGTTATGCAATCTCTAGAGTGTTTCTCAGTGTAGATTTATTTCCCCATTGTCCCCAGAGCATCTGTTCAGTCTTCCATAGCAGCTCATTAACACATTAGTGTGTGGAGAGCAGGCTGACGGCATCCAACAGACACTGTGTGCACTTCAGTGCACCTCAGCATGAACAGTTGCTCAATGATTTAACATAAAAGAGCTGAGGATCTGGTTCACACTTAATTTTTAATTCTCTACTAGCTCCATATACATACTATGTCTCTATGCACCACATACTAATGGGCATACTTTTAATTCAGGCTCAGATTATATTGTGAGTTTCTTAGATTAACAACAATCTGTTTAATGGACCCACACTAATGTGCCCACCTTGCAGTTCTTCCACCAGTACTTGTTCTTTAGCTTGGCTGCGCAGCTTTCAAACTGGGAGGCTCCGGCTTGGAGAGCATCCGCTCTGTCATCCAGCTCTGAAAGCTTCTGGTCCCTTTCCAAAACCTTGTCCACATTCACCCGCATGATATCCACCACCTAGCCGACAGTGGTGAGGATGAGAAAGCATTTGGCAGTGGTGGCGAGAAGAGACAAAGAGGATGACAAGCACAGTTAAAGGAAAGAAACACAGGGGACAAAGGGTTCTCTGAAGCTGCATATCGTAAATGAGTAGTTGTAATCCATTTGAAAATTGCAGCAAAGCTCTTTATATATTAAGAAGAGGAGATATTTCCAGAGAGCAACAACATTTTTGAATGCATGTCCAGTATAAGCATCATCCATACACAGGAAGTCCAGACATTTAATGATTAAGCCATTGATGAGGTTCCCCAACTGTTAACATGCATTACTTGTTAACATCAACCTCTAGTCCACAATCTTAGTCTGGCCTGATCCAGCTCACCTCCTCGACTTGGGCCTGTGTCTGCTGTAGCCTGCGGTTGCTGGAGGTATTGGGTGGGGCGGGAGGTCCGCCAGATGGGGCGCCATCTCCACCAGGGGCTCCTGGAGCGCCAGGGGCTCCAGCTGGGGCAGCATCTGGGGCAGACCTGAGAAGAAGCACGGGAAGAAGGACGAGGAATTGAGAGAAGTAAAGGAGACTGTCTGATATTCTGTTGTTAGTTATAGAGGAGGCATAGCACACACAGAGAAAACTGCATATGATGCAGGGGAGAGTGGAGATGTAAGGCGAAGAAATGCAGAAAATAGGATGTATAGGGGGAAGAAAAAGAGGAAAGAATGAGCAGGTGAAGAAAGATGGTGCAGTGGGAATTAAGAAAATATAGGCCACAGATGGATAGCTAGAAACAGAAAGTATTCTCCAGGAAGATACTGGCTGAATATTTGGAGCAGGAGGTTTTAGTGAGAGAAAAAAAGAGGGGAGAAATTCTTGTGATGGATTACACAGAGTTGGGAGGGATTGAGAGGAAAAGGTAAGGTTGGAAAGTGATGTGTGGAAAGGGGGGAAGGGTTAATCCAGCAGGGGGGAGGGAGAGAGGAGGAGTGGGTACAGGAGGCTTAAAACTGAGCAAACAAGCTCCTCAGGGGAGCAACCTGACTATCTGACGGACCGTTTATTGCAAATCACAGTCACTGCAGCAGGACTAAAAAATATATACTAAAAATATCTTCACCTCATGAACCATCAATTATCTGACATGAATGTTCCTCAACAAAGGAGGTGATGACCTCAAACCCTCTGAACAACAGTACGGTCTAATATTTCTTTTAGGTCTGTGTTGTAAAATGATCTAAAAAAGGCACAATGTAACTGTACCTAAGGCTTTAGAGTGGCAGCAGTCAACCCCTGCATACATAATTTAGTGATGCTGTGACGGAAAATTTCACTTGCGTCAGCAAAATCTATCAAGCTGAAAGAAATCAGTTCAGTCTCAAACCTCAGCACGAAAAAAACAAGAAAAACATACAAGAAAATAAACTGGTTTGAATATATGTTTATCAAGAGCAGCTTCAGGGAGATTTTTCATTTAGTTATAGTGAAAAGAGTGCAGCAGAAAAGCCGCATTAATACTCACATCTTCTATGCAGCTGTTTGAACTGACTCACGGGCAGCGGTGGAGGAGGGGTGACGGACTGAGAGGCAGGAGAGGGAGGGTCTGAAGTACAACCAAAGATACAAAATAAAAAAATAAAAACAGCAAGATCAAAGAAAAAAAAAAGAGATGAGAATATCTAGGCTCTGGTCCAAAATTAAAGTCCGGATATTCAGTTGAGCAAAGTGATTAAAGTGGCTGACAGTAAACAGAGGCGGGGGGTTTCTTTGCGCAGTGGAGCCGATCTTCTAGCAGTGCATTTATACCGCAAGTGGTCAGCAAAAGTACCGCAATACCGAGACACGTAAACGGGCCGGGTGATAATTCACCGTGTGTGACCGGACTGGAGAGCGGCGAAGTGAAGAGGAGCAACGCGACCTCAAGAGAAAAGTACTTCTAAATTATAATCCATCCAGGAGAAATCCACGGACGCGCAGATTCCCGCAGGGCTGCTTCCAGCTCCTCCAAGTGATGCTGAGTCCTTATAGCGGTGCTCCTGGATGCTGAGGACGCGGCGCTGATTGGCTGGTTTTGTTTAGTTGCCTCTTCTGAAAGCTACTGGCAAAAAAATGCAATTTCAAAATTAAAGGGGGGCAAAAAGTCCAGTCATGAGAAACCAGTTGTCTCTTTTTGATTTCTGTCACCCCCCACCTCTCTCTCTCTCTCTCTCTCTCTCTCTCTCTCTCTCTCTCTCTCTCTCTCTCTCTTTTTTTTTTTTTTTTTCTCTCGCTTTCTCCTCTGCGCGGACGGATGTGCGTCTTGAGGGAAGTGCGGTTGTAAAGTGCTGTGGCACTGTAGGCTACTGCAATAATGCGTCTCTCCTCCTGCCTTCTCCACTTGGACTCGTAACGACAGTGCGGTACCCCCCTCCCCCTCCCATCCTCTCTCTCTCTCTCTCTCTCTCTCTCTCTCTCCCTTCACACTTTGCAGTACTGCAGCTCTCTGTGTCGGATAGGGCGGCAGGACGACACTGCGGTACAGTGGATGCCTACAGAGTGTTGACTCGACTGTTTCCTCTCTGGCCTGGGATTCTCCCATTTTCCCCTCCTCCTGTACAACGTTTCCCTTTGCGTTTGATGTCGTTTAAATTCCGACTGGAGTCCTTCCTTTAAACCCACAACCTCAGCTCTTTTTCTATTTTGATTCTCAGTTATGTGCATAATTTAAAAGAGTGAAGTCATTAAAAAATAGGGTAAAGTGTGAATGGCCATTGGAGGATGAAACGTGACAAAATATGACATAATATAAACATCACAGATACACTATATGTCCAACTCTTGTCTATATACTTTTGTTTTTCGTGTTTAAGGCTTTAACCAATAGTTTTAAGCAGTGGTGTAGTGGTACCTAGAGAAGTGGGTAATGTATGCCCAAGCAAAGGATAAACACTTTGTATTATGAACAGTGACAACACACATGATTGCATATTTGGCTAAAAATGGGCCAGTAGCATCTGCACAACTTATGCTGATTGACTTCAGGGAGTGAGGATCAGTATGAAATTAACATTAGCCACAGAAGAGGGGCAGATTGTGCAATAGGTTCTGGCCCACAATCGAGTGAGAAACTACCTAATCATGCGTTTTGAGGGAAGTATTCTTTATTCCTTGTATTAATGATAAGCATCAGAAGGGATTTAGAAGTGGGTATACCCAGTTCCGACTGAAAGATACGTGGGTATGCTCCATAGAACTGTATATAGCCTGCACTACACTAGTGGTTTTAAGTAAAATCTGTGCTGCAGTGCACAATTACTAATTTTAGTGTCTCCAAACCTTTTTTGACTTTAATCCTTTAAAGCATTTATTTTTCTCACTCCCCCTTGTTACAGGATGAAAATGTCAAATATTTCATAATATAAAAGCAAAGACTAAAAATAGTCAAATGAGCACAATTTGTAGCAGAAAGATGTATGTTTTCTTTTTTTTTATCATCTCATAGCCACTCAGATGAATCTTCGGACTCTGGGTTGGGTTGAATCACTGTTTCAGGCTTCCCCTCTTTGTGGCCACAATTTGTGGAACTTGACTGACCTGCACAGAGCCCTGACCCCAACATCTCTGGGATGAACTGGAACACTATCTGTGAGCCAGGTCTTTTACTCCCCAACCTCAGTGCCTGACCTCACCGAGGCTCTCTTGGCTGGATGGGAGTAAAGTCATGCATCCAGGCTCTAAAATATTATAGAACGTCTTCCTGGATGTAACAGCAGCACATTAGTTTTTTAGAATTAAATGTGCCACATTCACGTACGTTCAGGAGTTTATATAGTGGCTGTCCTCACATAGAGAGAAAATACTTTGATGATGATCTCATCAACTTTAGAGCAAACTCAAGCATTTACACTTGTATTAACTCTTGTACGGCAAATAATCAGATTGCCCACTTATTCAATACTTCAATGGTTCCTCTAATCCTGATCTCCATTGCTGACCTTTGAACTCTCTGGGGGTTCATTATACAGTCTATGGGTGGAGCTAATTCTCCATTCTGAGATACTAAGGACAGACCATCATAGTATTCGTCTACAACTAAAGAGCTGAGCTCTGTCTGAGAGCTAAAGGAGTTTATGTGCGTTAGAAGGTATAAAACAAAGACTTCTTTTCCAGTCAGTTTTTATAAGGTATTTTCACACTTTTATATGATTCATGTTAACGAACCGAAAACAAACAATAAACAGAAGTAGAGGAAGTATGCTACTCTGAAACACACACATCGTCTCTTCATATGAAGATGATAACTCAGAAAAAATGGCAATATACAGCACTTTGACAGCATGAAATCACACAGACAGACTCCAGCAGTCCTTGTTGGCAGGTCCAAATATTTGCCATTATGGTGTTGTTCAGTGTTAGCGGTGTTTGCCAACGCGGTTGAAGCGTCTGTAGAGGAAGCGGATCCTCTTCTCCAAGCTGTGTCTTTCCATAGTCATCATTCTGTCTCCCACCATCTTCTTCTTTCTAATTAGACGCTGCAGTTCATTGCCTTTGAAAGCCTTCAGCCAGGAGGGACCCACAATGAGGTCTTTGGGATGAGATTTAAAGTCCCCTGCAGACACAAAGTGAGGAGATCAGTGTATATGTGATACAGAGGAGAGAAAGCAAGCAAATGTGTAGGGAAAGCACATCTGGTGAAGAGACCTGGGGTACAGATCTGAACTCAGTAAGGCACCATCAAGGCTACATTGGTCATATTCATATTTATCTTTTCAAATGGCCTCCAAAGGACTTCTTCTGCAGTTGTTGAGGATATAATAAGACTGTATGCAAGCGATCGATTCTCAATTCAGCCCTTTTTAAGTACTTAAATTAAGTTTAGTAACTCAAACAGAGGGCTTTTGTTCTCCTACATTAACAAACAAACTTAATCAGATCATATAAAGAAAACAACTTTAATAGCACATAGCTGCACTGTACGTCCTAACAGTTTCATTACATGCTCACACAGTTAACCAAAAACTTTAGACAAATCAGGGAAGCAAATTCCACAGTCTAAAATACACTTACACTGTTTCAGGACACTTACCTAAGATGCCTATGTTATCATAAACTCCAAACATGCTCCTCTTCTCAGTCCACCTGTCCACCTTCTTAAGCTCAGGGATGGCATGCATCCTGATCTGGCAGCATGTACCTGAAGAAAGGACATTGTTTCATGTCAGTATTCAGAGTATCTTTTGCACATGCACTGCAATTAGAACTGGTACAATTAGTAGATTAATGAATTATTCAATCAAAATAAAATGAATCTTGAACTTTTTTCAGTTACTTAACTCATTTATCTAGCAAAAATACCAAATATTCACTGGTTTCCGCTTCTCAAATGTGAGGGTGTGTGGTTCTTTCTGTTCTGTATGACTATAAACTGGAAATATCTGTGGTTTAGATTGTCTTTCAGACAAAACAAACTGTTTGAAAGCATCACCGTGGGAAATTTACAATGCAACAAAAAACAAAACATTTCACTCTAATGACAATAACTGTTATTTGCAGACACAACTAATTCATTAATGCACATTTACAGGGAAGTAAATTTAACTGACCTCAGGCGATGTTAATAGCTTCATAATCTGTATTTATTGTACATTTTTTCTGTCTCTTCCATACTTGTTTATACCTGCAACAAACAGGTTTCTAGTTTCGGATCCTCATGCGGTCTGTTTCTGGTGCTTCTGCAACGCCTAAATTACAAATAAAGTCTAATGTGCAGTCATCAAATGAACTCACAAGAGCATTGACTGTGGGCATAAAGAGCAATGTTGTAGCTGCAGCACAGACACAAGCAGTAACATCACAATCAGTACGCACCAGTAGAAACAGTCCTGGCTGTGAGGAGCAGAGTCCCCGCGGACTGACACAAGGACCCTCCGGCTCTCAGTAACCCTCCCAGCACCGACATCTCTGACGTTTATCTACGGTAACAGACAAAAACATTCAGCTTCATGAAAGGGTATCCAAATCACTCAGGTAAAGTTGTTCTTCGACGTGTTTTTTCTTTTCTATCAACTGTTAGCTTCGTTAGCTTTACAGTAGCTACATTGACCCTTAGCTTCAGCTAGCTCGTTAAGCTACATCAGAGGCAGTTTTATGAACGTTACCGGTTTCCACGTCCAGCAGCGATCTTCTGCGCAGTTAAAACTTTAGGTATTATTACAACAAAGCAGCCTTATAAGGAGATATTACGCTTAAACATGTGTTATTGAGGCTTCAACATGGTCCAGGTGGCCGCTTCCATCTTACTCTGTGTCCCACAATGCGTAGCGCCGGTACCGTATTGTCTTAAGAGCGGCGCAAAAAGAAAAAACCACAAACCCCAATCGTTTGACGGTCGTATTGGACGGTCTTGGTACATTTTTCACCCAGTAGAGGGAGGTAATGGTACCGAAGCACCAAAACCGTCAAATAAACAGCAATATGAATGAAAAAGTGAGGTAATTTGCACCTAAATTCAGAAACTTATTCTCAAAAGATGTCTTTTTGACACTGGCCAGGTGTTTGCCTTCTTCGCTTATGCTCTGCAGCTTCTGCATAAATGTAAATGTTTCATCAAGGCGAAGCACAATCTTGCAGTGGAGGAAGATTTCATATCCTTTACTTAATTAAAAGTAGTAATACTGTGAATATTTAATTCACATGTCTCAAGTAAAAGTACTCATATACAGAAAAATGGTCCCTGGCAGTATTACTATTAGCTTATAGGCCTATTATGATATATTTAAATTAATATCACTGGTGTATTAATGTGTATGTTGCTTTTTAGTGCTGTAGATGTTTAAGGTTTTTTGTATTTTATTTAGTATTTGGTTTACATACTGTTTGTAGCATCACTATCCTGTGAGAGACGTAGGTTATCCCTAGAAAGTCAACTTTTATAGCATATAAAACCGCTTTGTGACATATTTTACATCTGATCCAACGGTTTATGCATTTTAAAAAATGTTTTTTAGTAGGAACTCCTGGACTTCATTTGGATATGTATACATAGGACTCCCTGACGAAAGCTTATTGCTCTAATCCTAACCCTTGTTTTTAGGCCTAACTTTACCATGTCTTGACAATTTATTTGTTTAAAAGAGAGAACCTAGTAGTGTAAATCCTGTGATTTTTAGGGGTCTGAAATATTTATTGAGCTTAAGAAGCAGTATCATTTTCTCAACTCACAAAGGAACACTCAGTCCTTCAGATTATCAGAAAAAAATCACATTCAAAAACACAACATTTGGTGTTGCATGGTTTTCACTGGGAGGCTAATCTGGAGTTTTTCTGAGTGAAAGCTGAATACACTTTTGTATGCCTCCACAGTAAAGTTGCATAAAATAGAAATATAATAATGATCAAGTAAGTACAAGTACGGTATGAGTTTTAAAATGATTTATTACTATATACGGGTACATATATATTTAATGTTGGAGAACTCAAAGTTTGCAGGGCTTCATTCCAACAAAAAAAAAAAAAATATTGATCAGCTGTTAAACCTGTTGCTGGAAGAAAACTATGAAAACCTGTTGACATCCAGGTTGTTATTTATTCTCTCTCTTTTTTCTCTCTCTCTCTGTCTCTCTCTCTCTCTTCTCTCTCTCTCTCTCTCTCTCTCTCTCTCTCTCTCTCTCTCTCTCTCTCTCTCTCTTCATATGAGCACCACAAACACAGAAACGCACAGGCAGAGACCGATACTTTCAGTCTTACTGTAATGAAGACCTAGATGGAATATTTTGTCATTTTCAAAGAAACAAGCTCGCCAAAACTGATCTTTGTCTTTATTTCATTTTTGCTAAGACGTCAGTGATTGTGTGGAAATTTAAAACCAGACAAAACATTTTTGAACATTAGATTCCATTCAGTTTTAACGTAAACCACACTGCAGTGGCCTGTGCAGAGAACAGTTATGGTCTTACTGTAAGTGTGCAGAGTGTGTGTATAACTTAATGTGACTTAAATTAATGCTGCAACAAAGTTAAGGTTTGACTTTCTGTTAAATGTGCAAATACATACCGGTACTTCCACATCCACAAAGACACAAAGCACAAATGATAAAGTACAAATCAATTTATGTGTGCACAACATGAAAGAGAACCTGCTATAGACTTCATAAAAGATCAGCATGCAAAAGATGCAGTATTTTAGATTAAATTCATTTTTTTATTCATCATCAAACATTTAATATGCACTTTGTTTGTGCATCACAGTCATGTTTCCATGTAGTACTTAACGCTGCGCTGAGCAAAACGCTGACTTGACTAAATTAAAGAATTTCTCAGCAGAGCAGCATTTTTTCATCTATGCTGTGCTTCCTCTGCCAGTAAAACTCAGTGGAACATCATACTTCATCACCTACATATAGGGAGTAGTATACCAAGATATAATCATAGCAGTTATTGAAATTTAACCACAGCTGTGTTTACAATAATTCAGAAAGTCTTACGCCTAAATATTTAGTGTTTTATTGCGTATTAAGGGTTAATGCTGAAAAACTGTGTCAGTGATATGCAGCGAGAGCTTGACACAGGAACAAACTACTCACTTGCTGAACTTCTACAGAAGCAATCTGATTTGACTATTTTCCAAGCTCATCATTATTAACATAATCATGTGCATTCCCTCAAGCTCAAAGCTCAGTTGTTTCCGTGCAAGGGGCTTTTTCCTTCACAGCACTTTCACTTCATATTCAGATACAGTAGAGGTGACTAAACATCAGCTTTAGGAAAGACCACCTCACAAAGAGTGACACACACATGCTCCCAACACTGACACACTAAGGGACGCAGTTGTTGTTTTTTTAAGCACAGCCAGAAACAAATATGACACTGATTTAAATTTGAAGGCTGACAGCGTTTGCTGTCTGGAGGAAGTTCTAGGTGGATGAGATGAAAAGATTTAAGAGTATCACTCGCCTAGCAGTTACCAGGGAAAATGTCTCCAAAAGGTAAAGAAAAACAGATCTGTGGTTTCACCCACACATTTTCAGGTGTATCTACCCATCTCTGTGACTATCTCTATCTATCTGTGCATCTGCATCCATCTGTGTATCTATCTATCTAGCTGTGCTTTTAACTTACTGTAGGTTTTCCAAACCTTTTTTTTTTTCAGTTTGTAGAGTTTTCTACAAAATTCTTTGTTGAAAAAATCAAAAAAAACCCTGAAACCTGATAGACCTTTGATGTTTTTTATTTTTCTGATTTCATTTGTCACAGTAATATCACCTTTTCTCTGTCTTATATTGTTTAATAAAGAACCCAAATCTGTGTCTTAAAGGTCCTGCTCAATGGCAAGCTCTCACATCTAACAAGACCATTATAGATAGATAGATAGATAGATAGATAGATAGATAGATAGATAGATAGATAGATAGATAGATAGATAGATAGATAGATATTGTATATATATATCTTGTATTGATCCAGTAAGATGCTTTATTGGAATTGCACTGACAAGTTCTGAGAATAACAGTAAGTCTTTGTAAGCACACACAGGTATATAATATACTACAAAGATAAAAAGAAAACAGAGATCAAAAGGTAACACTTTACTTCAACACCCAAATGTAGCATTTATAAGAGAAAGTTTAAGAAATGTTTTACAACACATATATATTACAGGTGTTTTACTATATGGTCATTGCTCATCTCTTTATACTGTATAGCAACACTGGAGGACTTATAGTTGTACATTCATTAAAAAAACACTAATATCTGCCTACAACTACATTAGTCTGTTATAAACCATGTATTAAATGTTTATAGACACTTTAAAAATGCTAAATGGGGGTTTTAAACTTGAGTGTTACCAATCTGTATTTTTAGAAAAGTTGTAGAACAAAATGAGAAGACATTTTTCAATTAACTTCAACTTACATTCTTACATTCTCCAAGTATATACGATCCCTTTGGTTGATGTTTAATAAAATATGCTAAAATATGGGCTCTTAGACTAATGTTTGACTGGCAGTGTAGGCCTGTTTCTGAAGCTGTGACAGTTGGATATGAATTGACGAAAAGGAACAGAGAAGCGAGAAAGAAGTGGATGATTCATTTTCCTAAATATCCATCAGAACGTGATACCATATCACTGAATGGCCTCATTTTCATCATACTGGTGGTGGTGGTGGTGATGATGATAATGATTGCTGTGAGTTAACCAGTGGTTGTAAACACAAGTAACTGGCAGTGACGGAAGAGGGACATCTCGGTTTCAAAGCAACAACTAGAGCTTCCGTGAATGATTGCAAAGTGATTCGTAAACAACTTACATTCACTGCAGTGTGTGGAGAGTAATTATAACGTAATTTAATGCGTATTTGGCAAAGAAGCATTTCTAAAAAGATTTTGAGGTACAGATACAGTATGTCTTACTGTAGATGCTACTGTGCATAGTCATATGCTGTGTGTGTATTTTATGCGTGCTCTCACTTGCAAATGAAATAATGCAACATATTTTACTTCTATACTTGATGTGAAGAAGGAAACAGAATGAAGAAGAGAGAATCCGAGAGAATCCGTGGGAGGGAGTGGGTCCCCCCTGTTTACATCTCTGTCTTATAGTTTCCAAGCTGACACAGACAGACATCAAAGCCTACCTTGTAGCTGAAGTGACTTGAAGTTGCAGAGGAACTACGACACATTCCGATCTCCACCCCCATCAATATATAAACCTCATCAGCCCAACTTACAAAAACACATCAGACAACTCATCAAGCAGAGAGAAAGACAGACTTCAAGAGGTGGAAAACAGAGCTCATAGAAGTTCAAGTGGGGGAAAGAGATTAAAGTTTCAGCAAAATCAAAAGAGAAAAATATGCTACTGCAGTATTTTATCGTTGTGGGGATGGCCCTTCTTATGACAGGTAAATTTATAATTTTTCTACCATAATTCTTTTTTTACCTTTTGGTGATAAAATGTACATCAGATGCACATATGTTATTGCAGGTCAAAGGTGCCCATTTACTTTGTAAGTAAATTTCTTCATGTTTCTTCCCCAGGGGCTCAAAGTGAGGTGATTGAGGTGTTTGCAGAAGCAGGCTCTCAGGCTATACTACCCTGTAAATGCAACCCTTTGTCTACACATCTCCCTGCCATCATCTGGACTAAAGCTAACAAAGGGTAAGACACAACTTTTTTTTTTTTTTGCTTCCTCCACTTGTCTATGTCCTTTTCCCTCTTTCCTTTATATGTCTAGCTCCAAAAACCTACAAATCCCTCAGATCCCACGCTTCACCATCCATCCCTCCTTGAACTTCAAACCGAAGACTTTTGTCTATATGCCAATGACACTGTATTGTTTGTGACACCTCTATCCACAGCACTGTTTGGAGAAAGGAAAGGAGCGGTCTGCAGTACTGGGGTTATAGCTGGTCACCCAAAGGGAGCCACCGCGCACAATGCCCCCACTCCCAGTTTGAAAGAGGCGATTATAGCCTGCAAATCAACAACGTTAGGGATGAGGATGGAGGAATTTACTCTTGCAGGGTGGACAATGGAAACCAGGTTACTGAAAACGTGGTGTCACTCAGAATCATTAAAGGTAAGAAAATTATACTGAGCCTTGAAACCCTAGATGTTGTGACTGTTAAATGGTGGTTTTCTTTACTACACTGTAAAATTTGTTAAATCAGTGTCAAATATATAACTTCATAAGATAGAGCAGCAATTGAGCATGCCAAGACTCATAGTAATTCCACCAATTAGTAAATATGTTCATACCCATGACTTAAGGGGTCTCATTTAATATATCTGTGTGTGTATCTGGATCAGAAATTAGATGTAATATATGTCAATAATCTCATCCTTGCCTGTATCCTTTACAGTGTCCATCTCTCCTTCGGTTCCCATATGGGGGAAAGACGTTAAAATCAGCTGTGATGTGAATCCTTGGCCTAATGGCGCCACCGTGCAGTGGACGTTGAACAACAGCCGATTTTTGACCCCGACTACAATCATGAAAAAAAGTTTCATGAGGGAAAAGGCAGATGCGAGACTGACAGGAAACTGGACCTGTTTCGTGGACTACAAGGGCAAAGAGGGGCGAGCTTCAGCAACTCTGACTGTGATGGGTAAGATTCTGAAAAAAAAAGCTTTAGAAAACATAATTCGTTTTAAGAAATTAAGCTGTTTAGTTAATGTTTATTCATGACAGATGTCCTTAAACTCTCCTCTTTCATTCCCTTTCTCTCACAGGAATCGTCCAACCATCCAAAGATGATACTAAAGTGTATGCTGCTGTGGGATCTGCAGTCACCCTCCCCTGTGTGTTCTCCTCCGAGTTAATCCCCTCTAGAAAGGTCTGGGAGAAACTGAAAGCTGGGTCTTTTAAACCCACTCCTGGTCGGCTTCCTGACTCTTTCTCTCCAATCTCACCCTCCTCTCAGCCCTCCTCGGATAATTCTGCTAGTTTGAAAGAGGTTGGGTTTCAGGATGCGGGCAGGTACAGATGCTCTGGGACCGTAGAACAACAATGGTTGACTCGAAATATGCAGCTTGTCGTTGCCAAAAGTAAGCCTCCATGGATTCAGCTTATGCTTGAGTAAAGTTCTACTGAATATTTTTTTTCATCAACAGTACATTTTATCGTCTCTTGTTTTTCTCTCAGTTGACAGCAGCATCCCGTCAAAGAAGAAAGACTCTTTGATGTTGGACTGCCAATTAAGCGACACAAGCGAAGTCACCAACTATGAGTGGGTTCATGTTGTCTATGACCTCAACGGCACCCGGTCGGAGGGCTCCATCCTGAACGGGAAGACTCTAAGTATAAGCAAAGTGTCAGAGGAGAACCGCGGTGAATGGGCATGTCGTTTCTACGGGAAAGAAGGCCTTCTGGGAAATGTTACATACCAGGTTCACCTAATGGGTAAGTTCTCTCCTTCTGATTTTTTCTATTTATGATAATATGCTATAAACAACTACACTCAAAATATACAAACATACTGGACTTCTGCCCATGCAAGCCTTTATCTGATTCTATTTTTATATCGTTTTTTCCCCACAGGTGGTCTGAGTGGACAAAAATCGTCAGGTGTCTCACAAAACACCGTTGCCGTGGTTGGCCTCAGCTTTCTCCTCGTCGTTCTGCTGTTGATTTTGATTCAGATGTACAAGAACCACCAAAGGGTAAAGACCTGTTGATTGCAGCGCTGTGAAAATTGCAGTAATTCAAAAAAATAATTTAACCCTGCATTCAGTTTTACTGGAACATCTTTACTTTTGGGATAATGATAAAAAATCTGGTTGTATGATATTATTTCAATTCCCACATTTCTTGTAAAAGCTTGAAATAAGCTCAATTATTGTCTTTGTTTCTAGATAAGTCACTTGATTAAAAATAAATATTGCTCATTGACTTATATCCAATGCTATATGGTAAAAGTATAAAAAAATAATTACAAAATATTACTTAAAGATACATTTATGTGCGTATTCATACATCAGAACTTGAAGTGGACTCGACACATTTTTAACGATTTTGCACATCTTTTTTCCGCAGAGGAAAAGGATCTTTCAGTACCCTGCGCTGGAGACGATTGTTCATACCACCTCCAATGAGCGGGAGGAGAGAGAAAGGAACCGAGAGAAAATGTAAAGACATATCGATGCAGAGGCATCGCAGGAAAGATCTCACAATGCTAAACTGAATTGAGATCCATCCTCTTCATGCCTGCAATATATTGGGAGACTTTTGTTTGCACAAGTTTTGTAAATATAGTATAACCAGAGCAGACGTTGTAGCAGTGTTGTTCTTGTTGTATATTATCTTTGTAACTGTAATTGTTCTACTGTAAGTGAGGATTTGTTGCTATATATACCTGTTGAAAATAAAATATTTTACAAAGAAATTACGTTCTGGTTTTAAAAAAAATCTGGTTTTATTTATTACAATATATATATAATCTGAAGCTCTTGGTAAATGTTCGGGGAAATCCTTACTGATATAAATAATATATACAGTAATTTATAAAAAATTATGTTTCATTATATTTACACATAACACAGAACAACATGTTTATGTATTATTCTAAAAAAAATATACTACATTATTTTACATTAATTACAGAATTATTATTGGCCATAAATTCTGATTGAAAAGACCTCTGTGTCAACGACAGATTATAAATCTCCTCTTTTGTGTGCTTCGGCTTCTCATAAAAAAACCTGTTAATTTGTCCCTTCAGTGTCTTGGATTCAGATTCCAGTGACTACTGGACTCTGTAGTGCAGCTTCAGGGTTACACCTGACTACACTCCCCGTCTTCTTGCTCTGAACGTTCGTAGAGATAACAAGAGGTCAGAGATTGGTTGATGTCCTCCAGAAGCCCCCTGCCTTGAGGCTGTAAATGATCCATGACTTCATCATCATCAAAGCACCAACCTGGCCAGTCCACATTTACACCGTCCGTAAAGACAACACTAAAGAAAGATGGAAACAGAAAGTCAAAGTTGGAGTTGGATAGGACATTGTAATTGTATTATTATTACTGCATGGACTAAATGCTGTTTAAGAGCCCATAAAGTAAAAAGCAGTACAGACATAATACAGTAATTAAAACATAATACATACAATTATGGGAACTCATGATAACATTAAAACAGACAAATCTTAAATAATGCTCTGATAAATATACTTTACAGTGTTCAGTTAGTATAGAGTAATAAATTGGCCATTTAACAAGGAAACTATTAGTTTATTGTGGAGTTTCTGATTTAAACGATTTAAAATATTAAAATAAGTTTTAGCAAGTGTTTTAAGAGACGTTAAAGGTGTTAATTAGGATTTATGCCCACAGTGCTTTGTGGTTAGAAACATGAAAAACACAGGGTAATTTTAAGTTTCCATTCTCACAGAACAGTCTGTCCATTACATGCCTACTCAACACTGAAAACTCATTTCAATAGTAGAGATTTGACAGTTTAAAAAGACATTTCCAAATTACAGGTAGTACATATTAATATAAACTGTGTATATTATTTAAGAAGAAAGAAAGAATCAAAACATCTGTCATGTGATACCAGTAAGCAGATCTATACCAGTAAGCATATCTGTACCAAAGATAGCAAATGGAGACTCTGATATGACACAAACTTCATTTAAATGTCAAAGAACATCTAAATTGTGTGATGACAATATGCAGAGCAGCAGGGAGGAGAAAGACTGAATCAGCACGAGCTCCTGGAACGCTGCTCTGTGTTTTTTATTTGTATATTGTAAATGACAACTTCTCTTCACAGAAGAATATTATTATTTTAATCAACAAATATACTTTGGCTGTCTGTTAACTTCCTACATTGAAAGATTAAGGCTCAAAGTCCCACTATAATTGGAAGGTAAAATGATGTTCCACTCTTAATAAATTATGTGTCATATTTGCATGTTTTCTCTATTAGGATGCTTTTTTTTTTTTTTTACATACTTTTAAAGCATTGGTTTTATAATTATTAGGGTTAGGGTTAGTGGTTATTGTAGTGGGAGTATGCCGTTCCATACAAATCCATACATTACCCAAATGACGTGTTAGTCAGACAACGAATTACATGTGAAAGTAAAGGACATTTTGTCATACTAACCTGTCCCTCTTCTCATCTTCATCTCCATCTCCGTCCACCAGCTGCTCCTTCCATCCTTCACTCACTGTGGGTGCTCTGTGTCTCATTAGCTCCACCGCCTCCTCCCACTCTGTGTCTCTGTCTCCATCACTGGGCGATGGTGATGGTGTGGTGGAAAACGAGGGGGATGGAGGATACCTTGACTTCAAATTAGCTGTTTTCAAATTTCTGTCTCTTTTCAATCCATCTCTGTCTCTCACTCTCTCATTGGCTTTTTCCAAAAGACCCTCCAGAGGCGAGGGGTGTCCGTTGGGATTATGTCCTGAGATGGGGAATTGTGTGTCCTTCGCTTTGGGTAATGTGTACAGACTACTGGAGTGCATGCGAAGTCCATGGCCTCCTTCGATGATGATGTTAGGAATGGAGGCACTCCTTTGGGTTTTCAATTTGGGCCTTTTGTCATAGAAGTTAACATCAGGCAGCTCAGACTCAGACAATGTTTGGGGGTCTGGAGAGACTCTATCATGTATGTTCCAAAACATCCCTTGGTTCTGCTTCAGGGAGCCCAGCTTTAGCACCCGGTGGGAATCTGAGCTTTGGCCAGTAGGAAGAGAGTTTCTCTTGATATTTAGGTTGTAGTTTGAGTCAGAGTTGGAGAAAGAGAATTTGTTTGAGTCTTGAGTTGAGGGGCCCTGAGGTGTGCTAACTGGCCTCCTTCTCCGTAACCCAGGTGACTTCAAGTTTTTGGAGAAACCCCAAGCCTCTGGAGATGTCTCATTGTCTTCGGACTGGCTGTAGCTGGAATTTCTACTGATGTGCTGGTTCACAGACTGGGAATCTGAGTCTCTCCTTGCTGATAGTCCTCCTTCTCCCGGTGCTCTTTCAAGTTCAGGCCCCTCTCTGGATATTGTTGGTTGGTAAGGTGATTGTGAAGTATTATCTTCATCCATCGGATAGTCAATATCGGGATATCCACCAAATAAGAGAGAATTTGGTCCAGTTGTGTTGTATCTTAATGGAGCTGCATTACTGTGAGTGAAACTATCCAGATTAGGGGCAGATTGCACCCTGTGGTTCCAGTTCGATCTTTGTTCCTTTGTCATCTGAGATTCTACAGTTTTCCCTTTTTCCTCTGTATAGATTCCAACTTGTTGTCCTCTCACTCCCAATTCTATCCATTCATATCCTTTGGCTGCTTGTTGCCTACCAGTAAAGCCCTTACGCACTACTTTAAGGTTATTGTTGTTGTACTCAGGGTGCAAAAAAGGTACAATTGCATGACTAGAGACCACATCATCTGGAGGCTGATACTGCTCCTCTGCTTCTTTAGATGCCAGCATCCCATTTATTGATTGGGGGCTAATAGATGCTTCAGTAAGTTCATCCACAAAAGTCTCTCCTCTTGATCTTGACTCTATAAGAGGTTGTTCCTCTGTCTCCATATCATCTGTGCTGACTTCTGTAACAGGTTTGGCTTCAAGCTGCTGGACTTTCCAGATTTCTAGTTGTCTGTTGTTCTCTGTTTCTCTCAGGCTCCTCAGTGTTTCCTGACAATGTGACATAGAGAAATGAATAAAGAATTCAACAATGAATGAGTATGTTATTTCTAATTCTGTTTCATGTAACAAGACTAAGAGTCTATAGCTATGCTAGGGGCTCTATGAGGCTGTACTTAGACACAGCAGTGCTTTGAGCTAAATGCTAACATCAGCATGCTCACAATTACAATGTCAACATGCTGATGTTTAGCAGATAGCCTATAATGTTTGCTGTGTTATATTGTTTGTGTTACATTTGCTAATTAGCACTAAACACAAACTTCAGATGGAAAATGTTGGAAAAATCTTGACCTGTTGTATGTATATATAAAATAATTCAATGGCTATCAATTCAACAGTGTGTTCATTCTGAACCAAAAATGTCAACCTCATGGTGACAATAAAGGAAAAATCTGAGTATGAACACAATCTTATGGCAATCCATCCAGTAGGTGCTGACATATTTCATTCTGGAAGTGTCGGACGGACAATTGACCGACAGACCAACATTGCACACTACTAGTGTGGAATAGCAATTTCAATTATACTACTATAATTTCAACACATTTGGACCATTTTTTACCTTCGCTTGTTGGATGGTGGAGACCCATGTGGAGCAGCTCTCTGAAGTGCTGGCTGCAAAGATGTAGACATTCATAGCGCACTGAAGCTCACCTACCTCTACAAGAACAAATGAACCTGAGAGAAAAGGAGGAATGATTATGGGATCTATAAGATATTATGACGGAATCCAGTCTTTTATCTTGTCCGTAAGAAAATGCTACTCACAGCTATCCTTCACTGCTATGCAGTATGTTCTGTCAAGGGCCAGAGGAGGTCGAACTACCTTCAGCCGCTCTCCTTTCTTCTGGACTTTGGTCATTAGAAGCACATCTGAGAAAAGTAGAGCCACCACCTCCAGCTGCATCATGACACGTACAAGGAGACACGAGAAAGTAAAAAAAGTAACGACAACAATGTTCTGAACTAACAGATTTAAATATATGTAATATAATGACAGTAAATGAGTGCAGCTGCTCAGCTCACCTTGCTGTCTTTTCTCCCTCGAATCTTCAAGTTCTCCTCCAGCAGCAGCTTACGTACGACTTCAGGACCTACTCCTCTGATGGGGCATGTTAGGTCAAACTGACAGATCTCTCTGACATGCTGTCAAGGAAATCCATCATGAGTAATCAGCAGTAGAAACATATTAGCGTGAATATTAGGTTATTTTGGCAGAGATCAATAATGTACAGTATTATTATTATAACCTGAGACATCCTGTCTCCTGTCTTAGATTTTAAGGAAGAAGAAAGAAACAATATTGTATTACACTTGGTCATAATAAAAAAATATTCTAGACGGTTTTCCAGTGATTTATGACAGTTAAACTAACTAACCAATTAGCCTAATTTTTCATTGGTCATTGTATACATATTAAATACAGTAAATGTAGTAGTCCTTAAGCTTGTATTTCTTTTTTAATTTAACACTCTGCCGCTCATGTTATGCTGTTTTTATTGTGTGTTTGATTGTGTAGTAGACATGGGGTGCAGTGTGCAATATTAGTTAGCCTCTAGTGAAGGTCTAGTTGACCAAAAGGTTGATCATCAATGCATATATTTTTTTGGACTTCAGTAAATTTGCTATCTGAAAAGGAGGAAAAGAATCATGTTTTACCTTGTCAATTTCTTCATTTATTCCTTCCACCTCATATCCCTCCACCCTCTGAGCAGAGATGGTGAGAGCGAGTTCTTCATC